GAGAACAGCATGGAGTATCTGCACTGCAAGAACTTTCAGTTTCCTGGAAGTCTTTGCTTCTCTGGATCTGGGAAATATTTTGGAAAACCAAGTGATGCGAGTCAGCAGTGTGATAAGTTGGGTTTTTTAATAGACCCCCCAATGCAAAAAGTAGAAGTCACAACAGCAGAAATAACCCTCACCCCAGGAGCAACCAAACAGAACCCCAGCCCCTCCTTGCCGCTCACAGGAAGTTCCCAAGTTGCTCTGGGGAGGAGAGGAGAGGACAGGGGGAGTCCATTGGAGCAACAAGGCAACGCGTGGCGATGTGCAAAACCGTTGGTAAAGCAGATGGCTGATGGATAAAGCGTCGCTGTAGTACGACATGCTTCTGCACATGTATCCATTGTTAGTAAATAATGTACAAACTTTTTTAAAACTAGAGAAACAAATTGGAGTTTGTTCCAATGGTGGGATGCTTTTAGCCATGGGGTTTTGGAAGCGTTTTCGCTGTGTAAGTGTTGACGAGTGGAATGCTGTACGTCTCTCCATTTCTATCTTCTTCAGCGGCGTAAGTGGTAGCTACATTTCTGACTCTTGATCTGTATTTTACAAACTCTTTTCTATGTCACTGTAAATACATCCAAGACCCTGCACCTTATGCAGAGAATGTTTACATTTGGGGGGGGGTGGGGGGAGAGGTTTTCTGTTGGCTTTTTCACTGCGCTGCCCAGATCCCGTTATGTTGAAATGAAAGTAGTCTCTGTTAGAAAAAGGGGCTTTTTTTCTCTTTGCCCTTCACCACTTCCCCTGTAATTCTGACTCCCTCCTGGATGAAGGCTGGCAGCTCTTGGACAGCCTGTGCTCTCTAGGAGTAGGATGTAGAGGTATTTGAGAAAGGCGGTTTTGAAAACTTGCCTGGGGGAGGGAGGGCGGGGGATGAGCTTCCTATGTTTTGCAAACTGTCTTGGAAAAAAGAAAAAATGTGCTTCAAACCCACTAGATGTTGGTGGTCTGCCTTGTAAGTTAACTCATCTAGGACGCCTTTGAGTTAAACTTTCCAGCAACCCTGCTCCTGTCTTCTCCCGAGGAAGATGAATGTCCTGCTCTTGTATCTGCAGCGACAAACACTTCTGTTGGTTAAGGACTGTATATACAAGCCCGCCTGCTTTAAGACTTCTCCTTTCCATAAAGTGTTTTTGATTGCTCTGTTCTGCAAATGGCTCTCCTCTTCCATATTTCATCCGCTTAGATGCCCCGTAGCCGTGTGTGTGTCGCTCTTGTTCGTGGGAGATGGAGCTATAGCTCTCCTTCCAAGGGAGAGCCGTGCCACTGCGCCTACAAAAGTCAGATACTTGGAAGATGGGATGTTTTAACCAACGGGCTTCTTACTGTGGACTCTGAGACTTTTAATAAACGTGTCCACTGGACTCTCCATGAAAAAGTATGTTCCTGCTCTCCAAGCAGGACCACTTGTTGGGTATTTATCTGGCAGAACTCTGTACTTGTATATTTTACAGATTAAGACCATTCGATCAGAGCCATGGGGCAAATAGAGAACTTAAAATCCTGACTCCTGCCTTAAAACTTTCAGTTCATCTTGAGCTCCAAAAAATTCTGCACCTGCTTGTTCCCAAATCCCTTTTTTTTCTTTAGGAAATTTGAATCCAGTCAAAGGCTGGAGACAATTCAAGGAAATTTTTAAAAACCCGCAAATTTTAGCTGATGGCTTTATTAAAATTACTAACTGGTCTCGTGTTAAAAACCCTATTTGTGCCTCTCTTAAGTCCAGGGAATGTGTAAAAAGGGGAGGTGGCTTTTGAGCAATGATTGGAACGACTGCGTTAGCTGGCGATTTGTACGACACTTGGCTTTCATATGCTCTGAGCAAGAGACTTCGGTTTGTGTCCTCTCTGCCTCATGGTAATGGCTTTCAAAGATGGCTGGTACCATCAGATTTGTACTTCTTGAATAAATATCTTCATTTTTATGGTAAACTTTTTTGTACGCGGTTTGTTTGTGTGTGTGCCGTGTGACGGGCATTGGAATTACGCAGGATGCGGTGCTAGACTTGGTGCTGACACGGGAAACACACGGCTCCAACACGCAGGGAAACGAGGGTGAGGGGATTCCAGCAACGTGACCATTTTTATAACGTCTTTTAGAATCAAATATACCAGTTGTGTAAAACGTGATTTTAACTTCTTTCCTCTCCCCGGCTCCTTCGGTCCGTGAAGAACTCTAGGCCAATATAAAGATGCTGTGAACATCAGGTAACTTTTAAAATGCATCCTGTGGTTTTTATGTTGTACCTCAGTTTCTTGGTTGCCATATCGCAATAGTCTGTGCACGTATTTTTGATGAACTGCAGAGCACAAGCAGGTTGTCGTTAGACTGTTCAGTTATGTGATTTATGTTTTTTTAACCTAGGGAAGATCTCTTGCCATCGAGAGCAAACCGTCATGAACTCCTATTTGGAAATGCTGTACAAAATTTCCTGTATTTAAAACAGCGAAACTTTTTTCCCCCGCATTTAAACAATAAAAGTAATCCTGGGAATGCCATGCCTTAAGAAATAAACTCAGTGTTGTTTTTCTTTTTAAATTTCTTCAGTAGGGCTTTTCATTCCGAGCTGGAGCTCAACAACTGTTTCATTACCTGTCTGATGCCCTAGAGACACGTTTTGGTAATAATTTTGGTGTGTGACAACGTTTTATCTTGCAAATGAAGTGTGCAATCCGGGGAGAATGCAGGGCCTGGAGCTGCGCTCAGACATCCAGCGGGAACCTCCTCTGTGCCCGGCTCCTGCCGCCGTCAGATGTGCCTCTGGCTCCTTGGTGAACACTGCAAAATAATGGATCTGGGTAATTGGCCTATAATTACATTTACTGACACGTTGTCTTAATTCAGGTCACCACTTTTATAGTCTTGATTAACTACCCAGTGCATCAGAGGAGTGTGAGTAATTTCTTTGTAGGCCCCATTGGTCTAATGTTATCACAGCTAAACATTTCAATTTATATTTTTCTTTAACTTAGGACAATTTCCTGGTAGAATTTATGAGGTGCGTTATGAAATAGACAAGCATGTGATTTTCCTGGAACTTCTTCCCACATAGACCTGCATTCTTTTTATATGTGTGAGTATATATAATGCCTTTTATATAGATACACACCTATTCCTTTCTGTGTGCACGTCTGTGTATTCACGTGTGAAACAACAGGTGCAAAGGCTTGCTTGTGGCCGTTGGTCCTGGCCCACGAGACGACGACGCTTCCACCTCCCCCAGCACGGACAGAGATGTTCTCAGAGCTGATCTCCTCACGCACCCGGAGTGAACCGCGTGGGATCTTCCTGTGCCCGTCTCCTAGCCGAGCGTGCAGCTCCAGCAGGTTTTCCCATGGGAAAGGAGCTGGGGCGCTCTGAGCTGGCTGGTGACCGAAGCAAGACCCCAAAAGGCCGTGGATTCTAGCTCAGAAGTGCGCAAGAGCTGAAATTTTCTCAGTCACTGCTGCGAGCAGTGAAATCAAGTGCTGCCTCGCCCCCACACCATGCGAGCTCAGGGTAGAAGACACGTATGATTTATAGAGCTGTGTTGTATAGATAATCATGTTTCTATTCCTAATTAACATGTAATGTTTGTATTGTGCCTGGATTTACGTTTCATTGACCTGCATCTCGCTACGTGGTGCTGCATAAAGTGCTACAACTAGCATGGGGGTTCTGCCCTATGGCGAATGTTGACCCCCTGCTCCTGGCCCCATCCCAAACGCTGTTGGCTAATGGTTCGGCTCACGTGCCCATCCCGATCCATCTGTGCTCCTGTGGATCACTGCTGGGTTAATGCCTGGCACTGGGCTTCAAAGACAGCACTAAGGGAAACGATCCTTAACTGTCATCCCAGTTTTGCTGCTTCTTAGGCTGGGCTGACAGCCCCGATCCGTGCAGAAACTGGAGTCTCCGGAGGCTGTAGGGAGCATCTGGCTGACAGCTGGGAGTGGCTGGTCCCACCAAATCTGGCCTAAAAATATCAAGGTAACTTACGGAAAAGGCACTGAGCTCTGCAAGGAGTGGTTGGTTGTGTTCTGTCTTTCTCTCAATAATCCCATAAAGTTGGGATTTCAGCTCTTTAGTTTATTTTCTCTGGACTCAGAGCGGTTGCAAAGGTCCGGGAGGTGGGATGCTGCCTTACAGGCGTGCCGAAACTTCACTTCGTGGGAGGTCGGTGGCGGTGCTTGGAGACTGGAATTTTCTATTCTAATTAGTCCCTTATGCTGTAGCCATGCTGCTTCATTAAGGAAGCTTTCTGATGGCAGCGAGTTTGGAGGAGGTGCAATGGTCTGATGCCCTGTAAGGTGAGAGGAGGGAGTATGGATTTGCTGGAGTGCTGTGCCCTAAGGGGAAACAGTCAATATTTACCAAGAGAAACTAAACTGCCTCTCCTGCTTTCTCTCCACATGGACTTAATTAGGTGGTTTCGTTAACAAAGCAAACATTTTCATGTCGTTGGGCTGTTCCTCGGGAGTGCAGCAGCAGGGACGCAGGGAGCTGCGGAGCCCAGAGTGCGCAGGGGGATGCAGAGCAGGCGGGAGGGGAGCGGGAAGCGTGAGTGGCTCGGCGTTGGAGAGACCAGTCTGCCCAGTTCAAACCGGCCTGGCTTCGAGTGCGTCTGAAGGTGGAAAAACAGCGAGTAACGCAGGGCACAGGAAGAGGTTGTCTCTAAAATCCCAAAAGACACCTATTGCACGTAGGTAACACTGACATCAGGCTTCACCCCAGGGAGAGTAGTGAGACACGAGTCTGAAGTCCAAGTTGCATCAGCCCTTCCTCCTCCTCGGACCCGTCTCTGGTGCAGAGCAGCAGCAACATCCCACAGAAAACGCAACAGGCATTTGCTTCACTGCAGCACTTGGATTTATTCACTTCGTACAGGTTCAGTACGTGGATCTGGCAGTTGTAAGCAGGGCCTGGGGGACGGAGAAGTGAGGCCGCGTTACTCCCAGCTGGGTGCAGGTTCTTGCTCAGGCTGTGAGGAGCTCGCTGATCCTGCTGGGAGCCTGCTCATGAGCCCCTTCCTCGTTTTGTTGTTTGTTGATACAGAAGACTGCAAACGTCTTGAATTCCCTGTAGTTCAGTGGCTGGTTTGGAGAGGATCCCTAGCTTAGCAAGGCAGCCTTGCCCAATATAAGGTTATTTCAGAGAAAGACCCTGAGCCCAGGTGCTCGTCCCCTTCTCCAACGTGCCCTAGTTTCCCAACTGACTCAGGAGAAATCAGTTTGAACTGATTGCCTCTGGCTCGTCCTGAACATGTCACAGGCTAACAGGGCACCTCCCTGGCCCGTGGCTGTTTCCCTACCGTTCGTAATGACTTGCAGATGCTGGAGTGATTCGTAACAGCTGGAGTTACGGTGTTGGGGGGAGTGGGGTGCCTTCGCGGCCGTGTCACAGCCATGCTGCCCCTGCTTTAAGTGGCCTTTTAATCAGGCAGCCCCGAGATGAAAGGGCGGGATCTTGGGGCTGAAAGAGCTTATTCCAGGAAACTTCTCTGAGGGCATTAGAGAACTATCCGCACACCTCGAGCAGGACTTTGATACCTTGCTGCGCTGCTAAACCACGCAGGAAACAGGCTGCAAGCCCTGCAGGGCTTACAGAGATGGAACTGCCCGCCACAAGTGATTGAACAGGATGCTGGCAGTGGAACGTAGAGGAGGAGAATTACCAATAAAAACAGTAACCCCAGAACCTAGCAGCAGACGGGAGGACAAAGAGAAGGGGTCTCCCTTGGTTAGTAATGGCTGTCTTGCTCCTGGATCTCGCTGAGATGCTGAAGTCATGAGGATGGTGTGATGCTGTGACAGGGATAAGTGATGTCTACAGTCTCTTAATGCCTCGTTCCCTACCAGCGTAGCTGCAGGTGCTCATCAGCCCGAGTACTTCAGAGCAGGGTGGGCTTGAAAGGGCACAGGCCACCAGGCAGGGACTAAGGTGAGCTGGTGGCAAAAGCAAATTGGCAAGGGATGGTTGCGCGCCCCTCCCTGAGGAGGGCTGTAAATGCAGGGCTGGAGGGGAAGTGCTGTTACTGGCTTTGTTCCCTTTCTGGCTGCAGGAAGCTGCTCCCCACCACGGGATAGGCGAGATCCTTACGGCCTCCCCTCGGAACGTAGAGCTGGTGTAAGGTCAGAATGAAGGATCTATAAAGGACAGAGAGCTTCGCCTGGGGCTTGTGTCTAGCACCAGCATCTCCATGACTGCTTCTGGCACAGGCAGAAGCCAAGGTACAGCACTTGTGTTTCTAGAAGGAGCCAGGTGTAAGCCAGTGTACCCTGCCAAGGCACCCCCTGGCCAGCAGCTCTGAGAATGGACTGCAGGGAGCTTGGAAAATAATGAGAAGTCACACGTGAACTCAGAAAAAAATGGCTTAAATAAAGGCACTTCTGCTAGTCCTGCCCATCTCTTCCCATTGGAGTCTCCTCAGACAGGGGAATATGCCTGGTTTACCCCCAAAAATTATTTCGTCCTGTTACTATCTTCCTGTTAAAATATTTTAAACTCAGACTGTGCTCTAAGTCATCAAAGACTTGCTCCTGAAGTCAACAGGAAAACTGTGGCTTGAGTGAGAATCCCAAAGATTAATTTTGAATTTAGGGGCATTTTCATTTCTCTTTGGACTGTAATTTATCTAATTTTATCTCATCTCCAGAAATATCAAAATCTTTGAATATCTGCTTAAGTTATTCTTTCTGGATGTTGAAGAGAAACCTTGTGGCTTCAAACTTGTTAAAGTTAGTCATATTGTCCCCATTTACGTCCCGCGGTTGAAAGGCAGGTCCCGGGTGGCGGTAGATGAGCTGCTTTTCAAGGTGGTTCTGTTTTGGGGCAGAAAGGTTTAAAAAACAGATGATAAGCACTGATTTCCTGCTTGGAAAGAATGCGTGGAATACCAACCATGCTGTGTCCAGAGAATAAAGGTGACCTCCTGCTAGTCGCGCCCGAAGGAAATACCAAAATCCTGGTGCTTCCTGCCACGGAGCCATGCGGGAGCACCCGGCTGTAGCCGGCTGGGTTTGGGCTGTGCTGGGGAGAGCTACCGACAGCCAGCCAAGCTCCAAGGCTGCCCTGCGAGGTCCTTTCCCATTGCTCCCATGAGCAGCAGTACGTCCCACGGTTGGCTCCTCTCCTTCCTTCCCGCGGCCCATGGGCAGCAGCCCCAGGTGCTGCCCCTCAGCCAGGTGCCTGGTGCAGAGTGGAGCTGCAGGACATGTCCAAGAGCAGGTGACACCGGTTTTACCACCCCTCTCCCTTCTCTCCTTGCTGCTCGTCCCTGCAAAGGCACCTGTCTCTCCATAGCCCCTGGAGTGGGCAGTGCTGGGGAGGGCTGGGAAGGGCATCAGCATGTGCTGCACCTACCCGAACCGATGGATGAAGAGATGCTTGGCTCTCTTCCCCACAGGCAGCCACAGCCAAGGGCTTGTTTCTTGGAGAGCTCCTTGCCAAGGTGGACAGCCTGAGCTGGGAGGAGTGTTTAGTTGGTTCCTGCCATGCAACAGGTTCAGGGGTGGGTTTATCCCAGGGGAGCAAGGTTGGTATTAACAGAGGGACGGTTCATTTCCCTGCTTTCCTTTCCTATGCAGCAGCATAGACCCAGGGACCCTCTCCATCCCTTGTGTGCCATGAGCAAGGACCAGCTCCGGTGAGCGGATTCCCTGTATGTGGGCGTCGGATGGTGAAGATGTCCCTGTGCCAACTCCAGAACCCGTGGGGTACACACCTCATAGGGCAGGAGGATGCATGCCATCATGTGGAACTCAGTAAAGCAAATCCTCCCCATCCTATTTCGGTCCAGGAAGTTGAAGAGCAGCATGATCTGGTCCTTATTCACGTCGGTCACATAACAGAGAAAGCAATGAAACTGCAGAACTGGAAAACAGTGAGCTCTCAGGCATCCTCTGCACAAAGCTGAGAGCAATAATTAGCAGGATTTATTTTATTTTAAATGCTCACTGCTCCCAGACAGGTTGCACAGGCAATTAAAACACAGTAGCAGACAAGAGACTGTTCAGAATGGATGGAACAGCGTTAATAAGATGGCCTGATTTATGAAAGGGGCATATGTGATTCCTGCACAGAAGGCGATGCTGAAGTGCTCGTAATTGCCTGTCTACCCCACCCCTGGGGGAAAAAAGGACTTTTCCAACAAAACCAGAAACATGGGAATAGACCGACGGACTGCGGGCCGGAGGTGGGGAAGCTGCAAACCAGCAGAGGGGAGGTTGCAAACAGCCTTATGTGGAGGACACTTTTGGCAAGGAACCCACCTGCTTTCTGAGAGGGAGCACGGCTGGTCGGTGGAAAGGATTACATGATGAGGTTGCTGCAATACCGAGGAATTAGCTTCAGTGATCCAGAAACCCCTCTTGCCCTGGGTTCTTGGCATCTTGCTTGCACAGCTGTAAAGGTCTGCTTTATGGCTGGCCTGGGTTTTTGCTCTGTTAGTTGTCTGCTGGTTGTGCCAGGACCTGGTTATCATATTTGTACAGGACTGGCAAGCCTGTGGCTTTGCAAGCTGCTGGAGTGCAGAGGACGATCATACCGTAAAATCAAACAGGTTTCGTAGGCTCTTGGACCTTTTTCTGTCTCACAAACAGGGAAGGAGGCAATGGAAGGGGGAAGGGGAAAGGCAGATGCTGAAAATGCATCTTGGTGTCTCTGCATGGTCCCCTGAGCCAACACATTTCTGAAGCCAATGCAGGAGTAGCCAGGTCATGGCAGCTTCCAGAGCAGCTTCCAGAGCAGCTGGGGCGGGATAGAGCAGGGAGGACATGGTGATAGTATCTGAAAGCTTTCTGGGCTATCGCCAAGCACTTGTGTTAACCAAGCTGCTAGTTCATTAGTATTACAGAGTGCTGCATTTGTTGTAACAGCTGAAGTGCAGTATTTGTAATGTCTGCGATCGCTGGGTTTAAATCCGAAGCGATGCAGCATTCTGTGCATCTCTTTTCAAAACATTACACAGGGCCTGTCATTTTAGAGCATTAATGCCAATCTCATTTTTAGAAGTACTTACTGTTCAGGTAGTTCTTTCCATGAGCATCCAGGAGCTGGGAATACTCTGCCAGTGCTGCAATATTTCTTACTGACAACAAGCAGTACCCTTCACTGAAATGCAGATGCTGCAGAAAACACCCAGATTTCAGCTTCATCTCGGTTGGCTGTGGAAGATCAGCAAAACAGAATTAGCACCATGGCAATGACCCCTCACAGAAGGAAAATTCCTGCCCTAGAACCAGACGCAGCCTCTGTCCCACGACTTCAATGCTTTTTCCACATTTTCAAGAACTTCCCTCGGACGTGGAGGCAAAGACACCCCTTCCAATCAGCATTAAAGGGTAATTTGTACTAAAATCGAGTGACAGAAATTATTCTTACAATGCCCAAGAGCATTAAATCTGATTAAACTGTGCAAGGTAACACAGACTTGAGGATTTATTTTAGACTGTGATGCAAATCTCAACCTCAGAGAAGTGGTACCCCAAAGACTCTTGGTCCATGCTGAGGAGGTCCTGTGTAGCAGCCACTGCAGGGCTTTGCCTCTCAGCCTCTCAGCCAGGGCTTTGATGTGTCTAGTCTCCAGCACCTGACAGTGCCCTGTGCAGCATGTCTGAGAGCTATAGCTCAGAGATGGCTGCTTTCCAGTGCCCAATTTCTCATTCCCATTAGCTGTTAGGAAGCTGAACCACTCTTGTATTTATATAAAGTGTTTATCACCCGTTCCTCTTCCAACCCAGAACGAGTCCAATCCAGCACAGCAATACCCATTTAAAGCGTTCTTTGTTCCTTACCCCTAACCTGTATCAGGAATAATATTAATAAAATGAAATTCCACTGGCTTACTGTGGTCGACAGACCCTCTGTGTAACCCAGCATTTAAAACGTGGAGCTGTATGTAGTGTTGCCGCCAGGTCAGCAGTTTCTTCTCCTTGGGCTGTAACGCTGAGCGGGAGCTCAGCTCTGCTAACGCGTGCTGCTGAGGACTGCGCTGACTCTGAGCGGTCGCGGTTATTGCAGTGGTGATGTTCACAACTGTCCGTAGATCAGGGGGGCGGGGGGGGGAGTGTCCCAGGAGCTTTGGGGAGATTTGCAAAGTTTTTTGCATTTCTGGAGTTCATATTCTCTTATTTATCACTTGAGAACAGTAAGAAGCAGTAATTCATCAATGCATAATTAACCTGTTCGCTGACGTGGTTTGACACCTGTGAGCTTTCTGCAAGAAACGGGTGGAAAGAATTCAAATGGCTGATTCCCTTTGACTGTGGAGCCAAGAGACAGCAAACCTGGTTATAGGGTATCAAACACTGGATAAAAAATGCCACAGCCCTCAAATGCTGTGCTAAATCAGTTTCTCAGAGACTTTTGAAGGCATAACTTGAGTTTGCTAAATTTATGCCAGCAAAGAAATCACCTCTCTGAGCTCCGATCTGATCAGCCTACCCTCAGACAATCTACAGGGCATCTACCTACACTGCAAGCCCTTTGGCATGGGATTTATCTTGGATTCCATACCTTTACAGCATCTGATAAGGACAAATATCTCCATTAACTGCCCACAGCTCTTGTAGGAGCAATTACAAAGATGATGGAGTGTCATGGTTTAACTCCAGCCAGCAACTAAGCACCACACAGACGCTCACTCACTCACCCCAGTGGGATGGGGGAGAGAATCATGGGGTGGGATAAAGACAGTTTAACAGGTAAAGCAAAAGTTGTGCATGTCAGCAAAGCAAAACAAGGAATTAAATCACCACTTCCCATGGGCAGCTTGATGTTCAGCCATCCCCCGGAAAACAGGGCTCCATCAGCGTAACGGTGACTTGGGAAGACAAATGCCATCTGTCAGAACGCCTCCTCTCTCCTCCTTCCTCCCTCGGCTTTATATGCTGAGCATGATGCCATATGGTATGGAATGTCCCTTTGGTCAGTTGGGGTCAGCTGTCCTGGCTGTGTCCCCTCCCAACTCCTTGTGCACCTTGACTATGTGTCAGCACTGCTCAGCAATAATGAAAACACCCCTGTGTTATCAACACTGTTTCCAACACAAATCCAAAACACAGCCCTGTACCAGCTACTGTGAAGAAAATTAACTCTATCCCAGCCAAAAGCAGCACACAGTGTCAAACACTTACCAGGGAGGCTGATGACAGAACAAGGGGCAATGACCACAAGTGGCTGCTTGGGAGGCCCAGTGGGATAGCAGGAAAAATCCTCCCCCAGGATCATGATGCACCCTGGATCAGGCAACCCAGGGAGGTAATTTCTGCTCCATCCAGAAGATTTTTCAAGTCAGAGCCGCACAGATTGCTGTCTGACCTGCTCCAGTGCTGGACACACTCCTGCTCCACGCGGGAAGCTGGGCTAGGTGATCTCTGGGGTTCCCATCCAAGCAATGTTCCTATGGTTGTGTACAATGCCCAAGTCCCCCCAGTAAAATAAAGTAAAAACGCTGTTAATTAGAATGATAACTTAGAAAGAAGCTAAAACACTGAAAAATTTGAGATTAAAAGTATTTTTGAAATTTTGAAAGTAGTTGTTTTGACTCTGTTCTGTTCTGTTCTTATACCAGTACTGCTGGATCCACACATTGCATCGGCTCAGACCCAAAGCCCATGAAGTTAGGTGGAAAAAAAAGTGCTCAATTATTTTCAGTTTCTTTCTGTTTCAGGGATACACTGGGGTTGCATTTTCAGCTTGGTTTTCCTACAACTCAGTGGGAAGAAGGGGAAGTAATAGGGGAACATGAAACTTTCTTCCAAAAAAGCAGCTGAAATTCTCGTACAGCTACAAATTTCCAGGAACTGGCATTTTTAAATCGCATTTCCAGCATCAGTATCGGTAAATTCCCAATAGAAATATGAGGGCTGATCATACCAGAATAAACCTATTTTTTTCTTGACAGCCAAGAGAAGGAGAGGCGACGGTCGGTCCCTGTGCTCCTGGGTATGACGTATCAGGGAACTAAGGACAAATCGCCAAGCCCAGGTGCTCTCAAAGCCTGTGCGTGACACACCGCATCCCTCCCGTACCTCCGCCGTGTTCGCGTCTCCCGGGGCAACCCGGACGCGCGGGGATGCGCGGCGCTGGCATCGCCCGGTGTCAGCCCCGTTAAAAACGGGTACTGCGAGGCACGGCTGCACCTCCGGGCATTTCCCCTAGATGGCCCCATTTAATGCTTCATTTCAAGTGGGTTTTTTTAGAGGATTTGAAGTTTGGCCAGGCAGAGGATGCAAACCTTCGCACTTGACACGGGTCGGGTCACATCTGCTCTGAAACAAATTCGTGGCGGGTGGTGCCGAGACGCTCGATTCCTCCTACTGTGTGTGCGTTTAAATACTCGTGTTT